AAATAACATCTTGTTGTTTCATCGAAACATATAAATGTTGACTAATCTGGCTAACATTGAACTTGGTAAAATGAAATGGTTGAATAATTGAAAAATGAGATTATTCAGGAATACACATTGAATGCTGAAATTACGCATTGAATTTCTGGTAGTAGATCCATAATCAAAAAAGTGTTTGTGATTGTTCCAGAAGAAATGGAACAAAAGATATGGTAGAGCTAGGGCAATTATTGGATGAGGTCTACCCAATGCTAGATGCAGAGGCGTATAATAGATCGATATGAGCATCATAAGCTCTCATGTAATAAAACCAGTTGTTGATGATACCTTCTTCTCGGTTCCTTTTTCCATAACTTGAGCTCGAAGAAGGAAGAGATAAGAGGGCCCTATGGAGAATGTGGTAAAAAATCCATAATAGAGTCTGACCACAACGATCGAATTGATTATCTTCATGCATAATGATACTAGATTACCTAGTAGAAAAGATTGAAAAATCATCACAAACCTCCCTTATTTCTTTTCTATTGCAATTTCTGGATTATTATATGATGATTTTTGAACTTTCTATATATAGAAAAGAAATAGAAAGAGATAGACTAGAAACGACATCTGTTATGTCAATGACACCAAAGGGGTATTAAATGAATGGAATTGAGATATGGATGGAATATAATGAAATAGAGCCACTTTGAGGTTCCTTCTGAAATGAGACATGGAAGAGAGCCACTACGAAGAAGTTTCGGTAGTTACGAAGGAAGCTTCGAGCTCATATTGGTCATGGGTTAAGAACGGGAATTGAATTCTATGAGATCTAATCTCCCGTTGTTCCTCAGTAGCTTAGTGGTAGAGCGGTCGACTGTTAACTGATTGGTCGTAGGTTCAAATCCTGCTTGGGGAGATTTGATTCATTCTGAATTAACGAATTCAAAATAAAGGGGCTCGCTTTGACCGTTAAGAGTAGGTAACCTGTTCCTTGTCTTTGTTTCTATCTCATCGATCACATTCTGTTCTGCGAGATTTGAAAATCACCGTCAATACCTCGATGTAGGTCTAAGATGATCCTTTTTTCCATAGCCCTGGGGCTATTTCCAACTAGCCAATTAAGAATTCTCAGATGTACTAGCACTGCATCTTTGATGCAGTCATCGATTCTCCTGAGAGTTCACAATTGCCGTGAGCAAACATATTAATGACGAAGAAGGCAGTTTTGTTATGCTACTAATACTTGTACTTGCTCTGCTATTCTATCCAAGCCTGGTTGAGAAAGAGTTACGAGGCATAAAATAAAAAATATGCGAATGGGTCGGGGGCATACTATTTGTAATAATTCCATCATTCACGATAAATAATAAATAAAAAGAAAAACCCATTCCAAAGACCCACACCCAAGTTCCATAGCTGCCCCACCCCGTCTCCACTGGATATGGTCTCGGGAGTAGCCTAAAAAAAGGAACCTTTCCTCTCCCCTCCCCAGCCATTTCACTTTGGATTAAGAAGATGTAAAAGCGCATTTATCTCTATAAGAACGTGCATTCTGAGGTGTGAAGTGGGAGAAAAGGGATGTCATAGTTGGGGTTTCCAATAAGACGACCTTTTGATTTTTCATTTTTTTCGTTGAAAAAGGAATAAGAATGAGAGGTCTTAAGCTTTTTATCATCCTGGCGTCGAGCTATTTTTCTTCAGGACCTCCCCTACAGTATCGTCACCACAGTAGAGTTTAACAACCAAGTTCGGTATGGATTGGAGTGGTTTCTCTATGCCTAGGACACTAGAATATCAAACCATGAGCAAAGAAAGGCACGAGAGAAAAGCCTATTAGCTAGTGATTGTGAGGCCTCAATTCTTCACTGGAGGGAACACCAAAGGCCTCTGCCCTTCCATCCCTTGGATGTATAGAGAGGGAGGGCAGACCTTTTAGTTTTTTCATGTTGTCAAAGAGTTGAACCATGGTTTTTCGTGTTGTCAAAGATTTGAAAAATGAAAATAGATAGCGAGTGCCTGATTGAATTGATCAGGTCATGTAGGAACAAGGTTCAAGTCTACTGATCTGTTAGGATGCCGCAGCTGTATACATCACTGCACTTCCACTTGACACCTATCGTAATGAAAAATGGCTCGTCTCACCGTGACCTTCTCTTAAATTCTCAAAACTTCTATCGCTCTATCCTCACAGGAGCAGAGAACCCGTTGCTATCTTGGCCATGCTATCGAAAGCTCTGGGGAAGTCAAAATAGGAGAGCACTCATCTTGGGATGGGCTTACTACTTAGATGCTTTCAGCAGTTATTCGTTCCGCACTTGGCTACCCAGCATTTACCATGGGCACAATAACTGGTACACCAGCGTACTAGAAAAAGGTCCTCTCAATGCTCTAACGTCCACACTAGATATGGATCGAGCTGTCTCACGATGTTCTGAACCCAACTCACGTACCACTTTAATAGGCGAACAGCGCAACCCTTGGAATGTACTACAGCCCCAGGTGGCGAAGAGCCGACATCGAGGTGCCGAGGCTTCCCGTCGATGTGAGCTCTTGAAAAAGATCAACCTATTATCCCCAGAGTAACTTTTATTTGTTGAGCGATGATCCTTCCACTCGGCACCGTCAGATCACTAAGGTCGACTTTCATCCCTACTCAACTGGTGGGTCTTGTAGTCAAGCTCCCTTCTACCTTTGCACTCAAGGGCCAATCTCCATCCAGCCCGAGGAAACCTTTGCACACCTCTCTTACCTTTTGGGAGGCCTACGCCCCATAGAAATTGTTCCTTAGCCTGTAGGTCCTGAAACAAGTTTAGAATTCTAGCTCTTCTAGAGTGGTATCTCACTGATGGCTCAGGCCCCTTCGGAAGGAGGCCTTCTTCACCTTCCACCTAAGTTGTGCAGGAAAGGCCTAAACCCAATGGGAATAGTGAAACTTCATAGGGTCTCTCGGTCTGGGTGCAGGTAGTCCGCATCTTCATAGACATGTCTATTTTACCAAGCCTCTCTTCGAGATAGTGTCCAGATCGTTATGCCTTTCGTGTGGGTCAGAACTTACCCGACAAGGAATTCCACTAGCTTAGGACCATTATAGTTATGATCGTCGTTCACCAGGGCTTCGATCGTCGGCTTCCCTGTTATTAGGTCACCAACTTTCTTGACCTTCTTGCACTGGACAGATGTTAGCCCCCATACATGGTCTTACGACTTTACAGAGACCTGTGTTTTTGGTAAATAGTCACCTGGGCCAGGTCACTGTGACCTCCTTTGTGAGGAGGCACCCCTTCTCCCGAAGTTACGGGGCTATTTTGCCAAGTTCCTTAGAGAGAGTGTCTCGTGCCCCTAGGTATTCTCTACCTACCCACCCATGTTGGTTTCTGGTATAAGTACCTTTTTTTTTAAAGGTCGTTCAAGCTTTTCCCGAGAGTATGGCATGGATTACTTCAACACCGTAGCGCATGGGGTTTGAACATTGGCTTGAGGCATTTTCTCTATCCCTTCTTACCCTGAAAAAGCAGGGGCACCTTACGTTCTTGAACTGATAACCAGCTTTCGACTAACCTAGCCTCCTCCGTCCCTTGGGACTAATAAGGGATAGTACAAGAATATTCACTTGTTGTCCATCGACTACGGGTTTTCGCCTAATCTTAGGCCCTGACTCACCCTCCGTGGACGAACCTTGTGGAGGAACGCTTAGGTTTTCGAGGTATTGGATTCTCACCAATGTTTGCATTGCTTAAGTTGACATTCTCGCTTCTGCTTTGTCCACCACTACTCGCACAGGGCCTTCCTTCTAAGGCGAAACACTCCTCTATCGATGTATTTTTTCATCCCACAACTTCAACAGATCGCTTAGCCCCGTTCATCTTCGACTTAAGAGCGCTCGATTAGTGAGCTATTACGCACACTTTCAAGGATGGCTACTTCTAGGCAAACCTCTTGGCTTCTTTGTACCCCTACCTCCTTTATCATTGGGCGATCATTTAGGGGCCTTAGCTGCTGATCTGGGCTATTTTTCTCTCGAAGATGAAGCTTATCCCCTATTGTCTCATTGGCCAACCTTGACACCTGTTATTTTGAGGTCATATCTAGTATTCAGAGTTTGCCTCGATTTGGTAACGCTCTCGCGGCCTGCACTAAAATAGTGCTTTATCCCTTGATGTACAGTCAACTACTGTGCCTAACGCATTTCGGGGAGAACCAGCTAGATCTGGGTTTAAGTGGCATTTCACTCCTAAGCACAACTCATCCGCTAATTTTTCAACATCAATCGGTTCGGACCTCCACTTAGTTTCACCCAAGGTTCATCCTGGTCATGGATAGATCACCCAGGTTCGGCTCCATAAGCAGTGACAATTCCCCTATGAAGACTCATTTTCACTACGGCTTCGGTGGGTTCCCTTAACCAAGCCACTGCCTATGAGTCGCTGGCTCATTCTTCAACAAGCACGCAATCAGAGACCTGGCTCCTCCTACTGCTTGGGAGCTTATAGTTTCATATTCTATTTCACTCCTCGATGGGGGTTCTTTTCACCCTTCCCTCACTGTACTACTTTGCTATCACCATCCAGGAGTATTTAGCGATGCAAGGTGCTCCTTACTGATTCACACATTATTCCACGTGTCCCATGCTACTCGGACTAGAGAGTAAGCTAGTGATCCTTTTGGCTATTGGACTTTTGTCATCTAGGGTGCAGCATTCATGCTGCTTCGGCTAGCCGGACGACGCTTGTATTACTCTCCCACAACTCCATTTTCACGGTTTAGGCTGCTCCCATTTCACTTGCCGCTACTACGAGAATCACTTTTTCTGTTCCTCTGGCTACTAAGATGTTTCAGTTCGCTAGGTTGTCTCTTGCTTGCCCATGGATTCAGCAGCAGTTGGAAAGGTTGACCTATTTTGGAATCTCCGGATCTATGGTTATTTTCAACTCCTCGAAGCATTTCTTTGATTACCATGCCCTTCCTCATCTCTGGGTGCCTAGGTATCCACCGCAAGCCTTTTCTCATTTGAACCTCGCCCTTCTAAGGCTATGCCATCCTAAGGTGCTACTAAATGGATGGATCTTATCAACGTCCATGAATGATAAATCATAGATCGAACCGTCGAATCAGAAAAATTGGGTGCTATCATATAGCTTTGTATCGGCTAAGTTCATGAGTTGGAGATAAGCGGACTCGAACCACTGACATCTACAGCAGGGTAAACTATCGCCTCTCAAGCCCTCCGACTGATTCTACCAAAGAGGCTGATGATAGATAATAATTTTCCCCCTAACACAGCTTACAACTTTCATCGTACTGTGCTCTTGAAAGAGCAACTCTTCTCAAAATCTCACTCAGAAGGTGCTGAGTTGGAATCCCATTCTAACTAAGGATTCTTGTGGTTCTGGAGGTTCCAGCTACAGGAGAACTAGGAACAAAAAGATTTCTCCCTTTTCACCCAACTCTTTGGTCTTAAGAACACTGGTTTTAAGAATGAGCGATTGCCCTTCTCCGACCCTTACTGCCCAACTTGAGAACAAATAGCTAATGCGTTCCACTTATTGAACAGGGTTCTATGGTCGGTCCGTGACCCCTGGATACCAAAGGTGCCCTTGGGGTGATCTCGTAGTTCCTACGAGGTGGAGATGATGGGGTCGGTCCGTGGATTTTCCTTTCTTTTCTTTTGTCGCATTTCGCTTAAAGGGTTGAAGGGAGATAGTGCATCAAGCTATTCGCAAGAGCTAACTTAATCCTCTTCCCCAGGGATCTCAGATGAGGGACCCTTGGGAGAGCCACCGACGCCAAGTATCGTCCATGTATGATCTATCCTAGATCTGACCAACAGCCCATCCTACCTCTTCTACATTCTTGATAGCCTATCTTTGTCTCAGTAGAGTCTTTCAGTGGCATGTTTCGTCCTCTTCCCTATTACTTAGAAAAAGTGAGCCACCGATTCAGGTACAAGATACTATCATTACTACCTGGACAATTATACATCCAACCCGTAATCGTAACGACCCAATTGA